GTGGAAGTTACACTTTAGATAGAATGTCCATCTAAAATAGCTGCCACCCAGAACTGTAACTCCCACTAGTCTCAGGCAACACTTGGGACGTGCATGTTCTGTTCTAACAGAACAGCCCTCCCCTAAACCCATACACTACCCTAAAATTTACATTACCCCAACACACTACACTATCACTAAAATTAACCACTACAATACACATTAGCTCCCATAGTATCTTCATACTAACTATTAAAACCTAAGTTCCTTAACTTAAAATTATCATGCACTGTAAAACATACATAGCAGTGACACATGTATTAGGGGGAAAGTATGTAATCTCAGAGTTCTGTAGACAGAAACATTTATACATTTACCTTCATTCTTGTTTATTATGTCAGTTTATCAAATATATATATATATATATATATATATATATATATTTGCAGTGATGCAATATTAAAATATGAAATGCCTTTTTGTGTTCAGATAAAGGCTGTCAAATCAATATTCAACCTATTTTTAAAACAAATTCCAAAATAAATCTTCATATTCCAGTTTACAAAGAAATAATAATGAATCCTATACAAAAAGTGTATATTGATAGGCTGTCAGGAAAGGGTTAAATTATTTTACGTTTACCTATGCCCTGGACTTGAGCTCTAGTTGATCCCAAGCCAGAGGCACTAGCAGCTGCATGCTTTATTTACAATCCCTTTGGCAGACTTACAACTGCCCTAGGCTATAACATAGTGTACCTAATGTTCAAACTGGCAGGTAATCTCATGTCAAACATACTTCTTTGATTTAAAGTGATCAATAGATTCTTGTAAAGAGGTAATTTCTCTGATGTTTCCACCTTGCTTTTCTTTACAGGTGATTCACACAAAAGCCCACTTATATGATGTGTGAACAATAAACAGCGAAGCTATAATCATGGCTTTTTCGTTTATTTTTTTTTTTATATGTTTCCGGTGAATGACGATTTTAGATCAATACCCCGTGTAATACAATTATCTGCAATGATCTGGTTGTATTGAAAAAGAATTTGCAGTAGACCTCTAGGGGTTTTATCTAGAAGCAAGTTATCTGGCTAGGCTGTGAATAAGGAAGTAGAAAATGAAGGTGCTGACACTTTCTGTCTATTACAATCCAAATGACTTCATTAATTTTTCGCTGCAGTATTCCTCAAGTTGTTTTTTTTTATTCTAAACAATTATTTCAAAATTATTTCTTTCTAATGCAGACAATTCAAAAAGAGCAAGATGTTTCGGTTTGCTAACTAAACACATCTTCTTAACTCCGTCAAACCAGCACTGGTTATTGAAATCTGCAAACGCAATAGCATTGATGGCCTACTGAAAAACCAAACATTACTAAATATTTTAGAGAAAGACACGCAGACGCATGCATTGAATGTGGAGTAATAAAAAAAGGAAGTGTTTGGTGTGCAGTATTGCAGCATGGAAAAAGAAATCAAAAGGAATTATATATATGTGTGAGCATGCGTGTATGTGTTGTGTATGTGTGTGCACGCATGCATGTACAAGATTCAGTTGCAGTATTTTAAGCTTGTTATATGTGAATAAGCTACAATTACTTTCATCACTCGTGTAGATAAACCTTTTTTTTTTTTTCTCTTTTTTTTGTTCTCATCACTCAGCTAAAAAAATTGTCATGCATGTTTACAGTGAAATGATTCCAATATTATCTGTTTCAGTTTTACATAATCAGAAAACACTGAAGGAAAGGCAGTCATGTGGAAGGCATTGCGACAGCCTGACAGGAAGGTGTGAATCAAGAATGGTTTCTTGCATCCCTTTGTATATTTTATTTTTACACACGATCCAATCAAGAGGAAAAGTGTGTGACAGGCGGTAAAAGTCATTTGCCTTGAATTAACAATACTCGTGACTGCTCACAAGCATAACATTTCATGGCAGATAATCACTTGATCATAATCATTTCTTAAACTAATATTTGTGTAAACAGCTTCATAGGAAACAAATAAGAGAGAGAATTGTGACAGCTTCCACATTTAAATCTTCTTTATCCTTCCAAGTGCATTTTCTGCCATTTTTTTGTTTATGGCTAAGGAGGATTAACAATAATCAGTAGACAGTTTTTTTGTAATCCTTTATACACTATTTAATCCTATAGTATGATATCTCAGCTGCTCACTAAATTTTAATGAATATGTATTTTTATTTTATTTCCTGCTTTAACCAAAACATAATGCACTGAATGTGTCATACAGCATTAATAATGCAGGCCAAACAGTAACACTGAAATGAGGGAGGGGGTCAAATAAACCCTATTCCTAAGAGCTTGTAATCAGATGCTTTCTCTAGAGGAAGTAAAAAAAAAAAAAAAAAAAATATATATATATATATATATATATATATATATATATATTAATCATGTGATTGACACAAATTGAAAAATATTCACACGAAAAAAAAAAGATGAATGTATTGATAAGAGAATTGTTTTTATGATTTTGGGGGCACTTTGTGATCATAAAACATATGCTACAAAAAAATAAAAATAAAGGAAAAGAAAATTTTATTTTAATGTTTAAATGTAATGCTTAGTATCAAATCACTAATTTAAGGTCTGTGCTGTAAGATGGAACGCGGAGCAATACCTCACCTTGAAACTTGTTGCACTGCCTGATGATACGTACATTGTTAATATATTTCATATAAAGATCTGTTATATATGTGCACATCTTATAGCAGGGCTGCCCAGCAGGTAGATCCACAGATGTTGTAGAACTACAACTCCCATGATGCTTTGTCATTCTAAATGCATTCTAAAGGCATGCAAAGCTTCATGGGAGTTGTAGTTCCACAACATCTGGGGATCTACCCTAGCCCTGCCTTACAGTATATTCTCAAGAACTACGTCAAGAATGTATTGACATATATTCAAAATAGGCCCTTTAGTTATTGCTCAATGTGTTATTTTCATCCAAATGAGAATTGTATCAAATATGACTCACTCAAGGTTAAAATGCTTTTAATACCTTAGGCAAAAGGATAGCAAGACACTTAGAAACATACACAAATCTAAAATTCAGTCACCTTAGTAAAAAGAAATACACATACAATGCACATTCTTTAACATTGTAAATTGTGCTTGTGTGATTAAACTATGGGCATACAAATGAGGTATATTTGCATGCAGGTATGTATCTTGTTAGAGCCTACATGCTCCTGATTTTTACTGGTTTCTGAAGCTGAAGAATATTACCTGTCTCTCTGTACAGCTTATGCACGTCCTGTAGCTCTTGACTGAGTTCCTTAGCCTCGGTTCTGAGTGCATTGTTTTCTTTCTCCTTTTGATTCTTATTTTTCTCTGCGTTCAGGATGCTCTCTTCCAATTTCTTGACCACGCTGTCAAGGTGCTCCGCCTCGGCCGCTTTTTCTTTGATACCTTCTCTTGCCTGCAGGAGATCAGCTTCCGACTTTCTCAGAAGGTCATCTCTTTTGCCTATTGCCTGTCAAAAAAAAAAAAGGAAAACAAAAAAACAGTCAGAAAAAATAAATATGTAAAAAGACTATATGGAAGATACTAAATGCACACAGATACATTACAGAAATGAATTTGCACAATTATCAATGTCCAATTAAAATCCTTTTTATATTTATTAATTATCATAGTGTTGTAAATCCACCAATTTAACTATGTTTTAATGCAATTAAATTCAATAAAACTGAGTAGACTGCACTTTCAATATTTATCAACACACAGATTTGAAAGGGACACCCCGCACACCATAACCACTACATTGTTATGTAGTGGTTATGATGTCAGAAGTGCTCTGGTGCTCTCCTTGTAAGTAATACAACCATTTTAGAATGTTATTACTTTTTACATATTCCAGGAGAGCTAAGCATGAGATTATGTTAGATCTCCTGAAGAATAGCTCAAATAATTGCTCCCATCCAATGAGCTATGCCATACAAAGCCGAGGTTAGCTCAACCAGAGTTCCAGAATCTCTGTGCCTCAAATAGTGGCAGTGAAGAGCAGCATTCAGCCGACCAAATGAAAGAAATAAAATCATTTAAAAAATTTTAATATTTAAAATGGGGTGGGGGGCGGGGCCTGACTGCTGAGAACAGAGGAAGCATACTTGCAAAGCTCCTGCTCAACGGTGCTAAATAATTGGATTTCACTAGCCAAAACGGGATCTGATCGGTCCAAAAGGGCCTTCATATGACAGGAGAAACCCAGGGGCACACAATGATGCCACACAAGCTACGATTCCGGCTTACTGCACCTGTTCACCCCGTGAGGCCTATACATGTGGTCGGCGTGAGGGAGACGGCCGCTCCCCCGCTGGCACTTGCGACCGACAAGCGGAGACCATACCCCTGTTCCCCCCCCTCTGGACCGGTAGGGGTTATCCCGGTCCACCCTCGGGAGATCCTGATACGGCCCGGTAGGACTGCCGTGGTGACACAGAGGCCTCCCTCAAGCGACGACACAGCACCCAAAATGGTGGAGGCGACGTGTTTTCCCGGCACTCATGCTGTGCTGCCAGAGGTCGAGAATCGGCTGGACAGAGCCTTCCAAATCTTTTGGGAAAAGCTGGAGGCCCTCTTGTTCCCGACGGACCCAGAGGCTGTGCCAGAAACCGGGCTACATGCTCACCCACATCAGGTCAAGCGGGAGGAAGCACAGACTCCCCCGGCATCAAAACACCCAGGGGGTTGGAGGCAACGAGACAACCACAAGCGGCGGGAGATCATAGATCAGCCGGGCGGCAACACGAGTACACCGACGGCCATGCAGAACAAAAGAACAATCGCACGGACGCACATCAGCCCGTCCTCATGCCAACTGGATAGCGGTGACCCAACACCAGGAGACCAGACCCACAACCCAGTAAAGCGCAGTGCGAATTATATGTACCACAAACCAAGCATGCCTCCGCTGCAGCTAGCACAGCTCGGACAGATCTTGGACACCCTGCCGGAACACTACTCCAACCTTACCTGTCCCCACTCCTGCAGGACGCTGGGCCTGACACCGGGACTCTTATGGCAGAATTTAGTCTGGCTCCAACGGGGAATTGGCTGACTCTACAGATAAGCAGAGGACTCTCCCACCCCTGGCAAGTAGTCCCAAGGGCACCCTTACCAGACTCAAAAGTTTTATAAGCACGCATTTTAAGTTTTATCTTAATTTTTTACAATTCTTGCGGTTAAAACTAGAAAAGGACGGGAACAGAACTGCATATAAACAGGGCCAGTGTACTAAGTTTGCTTTCTATATGCAAGCCCATCACATGACTCGCTAGTCTCACAGCATAGCGGGTTAGGCACCTGTGCACATTAGTATTGCCTCATCATTTTTATTTGTACCATTATCGTTTATTTCCTTTTGTTTAAAAATGTTTGGTTGCCGACCTATGCCCACAATCACAACTCCTGTATAAAAGCTAGACTAAGCCTGTATTACTCAGCTCGTAGGTTACTCTAAAATGCTTAAAATCAGCTAACTAGACATACCAGCAATGTTATCAGCTATGAGACAGAATTAGCAGTTAGACTCTCTATTGTTTACCACTCAAACTCTCTTTAAACATAAAAATTGTGCTAGATTTTCTCATGTACCTCTATGTTCAAATGTTTCTAATGTGTTGGAGGAATGCCTTTGGGGTACCTCACAACCATCTGTTAAAAACTTAAGCACAACAAAAATAAAGAATTAAAAAATGGGGTGACGTCCAGGCACTCCTAGCTCCAAAACCACTACAGCAAACAGTATAGTGGTTATGGTGTTCCTTTAAACAAACAATCCCCTAAATCTATTAAATGGAGAAGTTAAAAAATATTTTAGTTCAATACCTCAGTCAACAATATGTGACTGATTATTTTCCAGGCTTCACCACTAATGATTTACGGTTAAACATTTACCATTTTCTATAAAACCAAATTTAGGATAAAAAAAAAAAAAATAGCCACAATGAAAATTTTTTTTTTTTTTGATACTCTATTACAGATTCCTTTAGGATGCTTTAAAAATCATGTAAGGGGCTTTATTTTTTAATCTATTTTTGCCGAGTTGTTGTCAGAGTTGCTGGGAAATTGATATTGGTCCTATACACATAATACTATTATTATTATTATGATTATGTAATAATAAATTAGACAATTACAAAAGGTTACAGGGACAATATGTTGATGAGGACCCTAGTCCAGTGAGCTTATAGTCTATTTTATATTTTATTATGCAAATATTTTCCTACTAGAATCAGTAATTAAAAAAGGATGAACTGTGATTTATGCTAAAGTTCCTATCATTAGGTTATCAGAATAAATAATTGTTCAGGCACTCTGGGATAACAGCAATAGCAGCTTTATTGGAGCAAAAGCAACAAGGTTTCAACTCTACCTGGTCTTTTTCAAGCTACCACATCAATGCAGAAGTGACATTTAAATACATTGATCAATTACAGAAACAAAAATGAAATTATGTGAAAAAACAGCAGTGAAATTACTAATTCGACCCGGTAGGGTCGATACATTGCTGCTTTTGCCCGAATAAAGCTGCTATTTTTGTTATACCGGAGTGCCTCAACCGTTATTTATTCTGCAGATCTTGGAAGGGAGGCCTGGTCTTCCCTGGCTTCAGAGCATGTGGGTTTTTTGGTGAGTGGGGTATCGAGTACGTCTCTATCATGATTAGTTATTGAACATGGTGGATCCCATTGATGAAAAAGCAGACTCCTCAAATGTGTGGTCTTACACAAATATAAAGTTTTAAAATGTGGAGCTGCTATTTTTTTCTACCGAGTAGCTTAGTCAACACACAATAACAACAATAAACCCACCATAAGCTAAAGACCGAACCTTAAATGATGACAACATGCATTATTCTACATTCCCAATTAATGCAAGGGAGCATGATAGCTGTTTAAGTGATACATTTTTTATTGCTCTATTATTCCTGGTATATGATCCAACTTGACGCCCCACCACATCTAAACTAGACACCATTTTTAATATGAGAAAGTAACAAATGTGTTATTTTAAATGACATGAAAAGAGTTAAAAAAAATAATAATACAACACTAATAATGTTAAAGTTTGAGCACATTTCTGCTTGTTTAATCTTCATACTAGCAAAGAACAAAAGCAGGTAAAAAAAGAATACTGTTTCCGAGAGACCTCAAAAAAAAAATAAATTTAAAAAAAAATAGAAATTCTATGTAGTTATATAAATATTCATTAATTCCATTATGACATAGCACAGTGCAAAAATCTTGATAACAAGCAAAGATGTCAAAAGTGCATATTCCACCTTAAAAATAACAAGTAGAATGATTAAATCCAATGTAACTAAGCAATTAGAATTTGAGAATTATGAGTAACTATTATAAAGTATTTTCTCATTACGATCCTGAAGACTGAACAAGTAAAAATTAATTTTAGGGACCATTCAAAATATGTGTTATTCCTTTCTCCCAGCAGTAATTAGTCTAATCTGGTTTGCTTTATTGTAATAGTTCATTGTGGTAGGTTTCAAATCAATTAATATTTTGAGCTCATCATGACTGACTGGTATTTACTGGCATGTTGCCACACCTTGATTTTCTATCACATTCAATCATGGCTCTTTTAATCTGAATATTTAGTATTCTTTCATGTCTTAATTACAGCAAATTGCACACAGTTGGCACCATTTCTGGAAATTAATCCCAGAGTACTTTGTTTCTGTCAAGCAGTCAAAGCCTTGGAGAATAATAGTAAATGTTATTGCAGATCTAAATTTAAATGACTGTATTTAACGCAGGCCTTTAATTATTTGCGCAATTCATTTTGGTTCAAATGTTAAACATTGTTCATTAAAAATGTAAAATTACTCTAGACAACAAGCCAAGTTAAAATATGTGCCGTTTCTGCTGTAGCAATTGTCTTTATTATTGTGCTTTCTCAGGTGTTCGAAAGCCAAGAGAAAATTATTTCCTATCCCAATATTGTTAAATTGTTTACTGTTTAACGTTATTAGACTAATATGGAATAGAAATAAAAAAACACTTACAAAGTTGGATCCCTAAACACAAACGTATAATACAATAGGAATCATTCTATAATCAAAGTTTTACAAGTTTAACATTATTTCTGACAGAGGTAATGCAAGGAAATGTGATTTTTCACAAGCATGTAGGACATATATGTAGCTATGGACCCTATTACAAAAAAAAAAGAAAATTGACTTTCAACTAAATTGAACTTTTACACAACAAGAAATAAAAATCATGTTTTGTGAACTTTCCGGGGCATTTTATTGCCATTAGAGTAGGATCGTGGAAATAAAGGATTGTACATTGTCATCAACACCACTAAGGATAGATGTGACATTTTAATTCTGCTCAGTTGGTAAAGAGCGTAAAGGTTTACATGAAAATTTTCAGCACATCATTACACCTCCATCCTCACCAGCCACAAGTACTGACATAAGGCAGGATGGAATTCATGATTTTAATACCAACATTGACAATGCCCTCTACATATTGCAGTCCAATAATGTGTATATAAATATATTTTTTTTTTTTAAATGTATATAAATAATGGTTGCAAAAATAAAATATGCATTTACTAAATTTTGTTCAAATATTTCCTTAAAAACATAAATTTAAGGCTTAAAAACATACTTTCTTTAGCTGCATAACTGGTCAATTCAGCTAATGAATTTCCATCCTGGTTTTGTCCAGCGTATACTTTCTTTTTAGTATTGGACATTGTCCAATCAAAACAACAAAAGACAAATCTCCATTCAAAAGCCTCTCATAGAAATAGATAGTTTCATTGAGATTTAAGGATTCCTATTAAAAATATCATACTTTAGGACTGTATTCATTCAAGTTCCATTTTTAAAGCAGCTCTATCACCATCTAGGGTTTTTGCTGTGTGGAGCTAAGGTGAGTTACACTTACCTGAAAGCTGTCAAATTTGGTGCTTCATCCATCAGTGCTGTACTCTCGCACATGTACAAAAGTCCAATACTGATGACTATGGATGATCCTGCGAGAATGTGGGAGCCTCCATAGATATTGTCTTTTGACGAACGAGACAATGCCTTATTCCCACAGCAATCACTAGAGCAACTGCATCTGCTGTTGGGAGTGACAAAATTTGATGGCGGTAGCTCCACCTTTAGTCAAGTTTTGTCAACTTGAGGACTTACCATGAGACAAAGTTGCCCCTACTAATAGTCTACTAATTATTTATCTTATTGTCTCACAATAGTTTTTGACTCATTGCAATTTCAATTCAATTCCAACACCGTCTTTATGAGCACTTTGTCAAGATTTTATTTTTATGAAGTGCTCAATTTTTTTTATTGTGATAATGCCACTGTAACTACTAAGTTTTATGTGTTCATCAACACAGTGAATTTGAGGAAAAAGCTACTGTAGACTTAAAACCAACTGTTAAGGATAAGGTTCCCTAACTCTCTCATTACATTGTATATATTTTAACTTTTACCAGCCACAGACATGATCGCACCAACCATGATAAGCTGTAGTCCAGCAGCGCCAGATACGTTTTTCCAATCAATTTAATGGGACATTAATTCCAGTGTTACTGTTTTGTTTTTTTCCCCCTTATCTCTCCACCAAGTAGGGGCAGACATCAAAAATTAAAACTGCTTTAGGCTTTTTCTTTTTCAAGGAGTTAGAGAAGCATATTGTCTGAGAGCCAGGCAGCAGGAGCTTTGGTACTGAGTGTAACACACCTAGCTATGGAAAGCCTGCCAAGGCATCCAGGATTAGCATGCTGGGGCACTGCCCCTAGATAGTGATAGTTAGTGCCCAGAAAATATTAATATTTTTCTCCCCCTACCTCTCTTTGCTAGCGCGGCAGAGCGGCATTGAAACGAGAGTCCTGAGAGTGATTGTGTTTTCTCAGGAAGCTTCATTGGGACATCGGCCACTGTGAGCACTGATGAAGCAGGGATATTACCTCAAATCAACGCCCCTTCCACACAGCAGCCATGTCCTAGTAAAGCATCCTGAAAAGCCTGATCACCCTCAGGACTGTCATTTATATGTGAGGGATAAAAAGACTTGTCAGGGTCCCAGAGAACGTAGTCCTTCATTGAGCAAATCATATAACTTAAACAGGGCATATGAGCAGTCATGTGTGACAAACACTCACCGAACATGCTCAATGTCATAATACATGATCCTGCAGGAAAGCCTTATTGGGAAA